ACCCATCTGTGTCCGGTTGCGTTGAGTTTTGCTGTAGTGTTCACGTAAGTTAACGGATTGTTAGGCGGTGTCACCAAGGCATCAATAAGGTGATTAAGCGCAGTCTGGTGTTCGTCAGTCCAGGTTATCTTAGCAGTCGATGGAATACTACCCTTCCCAGCGTTACCTGCGTCGGACTGGATAAGCGTGAATAARCACTTAGCTATCTTAGARAAGTTGGGAATATACTGACGGTGGTAGCCGAGGAGTCCAAGTAGCTTGCGTACATCTCCCACGGTACCCGGTTTGTCTTGCTTCAACTTCAATACAGCCTGTATGCTCGAAGTATCAGGGCGATGTCCGTTCGCCGATACCACTCTACCAAGGCACGTGACTTCTCGTTGAAACAGTCTGCATTTCCTAGCCTTTAGTTTAACTCCACTTTCTCGCAACCGACGCAAAGTAGCGCGTATGTGTTCTATGTGTTCTTCGAATGTTTTACTATATACGATAACGTCATCTATATACGGGACGCAAATAGTATCTCTTAAACCACTTAAGCTATTCTCCATAAACCGCTGGTATTCGGCTACAGCGTTCTTCAAACCGAACGGGACTCGAACCCATTCCCATAATCCCCAAGGCGTCACGAATGCGGTCAAGTGTCTAGAATCAGGCGCTATGAAGCCCTGGTGATATGCCTTGCCTTGGTCCAGCATACTAAACCATGTGTTGCCTCCTAGATTGTCAAGGATATCCTGCACGCGAGGGATTGGGTGGCGATCAGCGAATGTTTTCTTGTTGAGTTCACGAAAATCAACGCAGAGACGTAAATCGCCGTCCTTTTTTCTCACGCAAACAATAGGTGAAGCATATGATGATCTAGAGGGTTTTATCCATCCTTTATTCAAGAGATCCTCGATATAAGACTTTACTTCGTCGTATAGCGGCCTAGGAATCCTCGTATAATTACGCTGAACCGGCTGTGTATCAGTCAAGTTGATATTCATTTGAAAGTCATCGATGCGGCCAATGTCATTGTCATTTTGAGAGAACGATTCTGATTCTTCGGTCAGCATTTGGTGAACTAACGAAAGCTGTTTGTCTGTTAAAGTATCGCCAATACGGATTTCAGACAATGAGCCCTTTAATTCTGTGACTTTCTCTCCGCTACTGCTATTCGCGAATCCGACTTCATTAACATGCGTGACAGACTGTTGTGACTGTTGTGATTGCTTTACATCTACTGGCGTGACAGAACGGACTAAATTCAATCTGCCAATCACGGAACGTCCCGGTAAAATGATGTCATGCCTCGTGGTGTTTGTTATTTGGACACCAATGTTACTAGATTTGCCACCGCGTAGTGTTAACACTGTCTGCTCAACGTCTAATCCCGAGGGTACACGATCATTCTCCGGTTCAAGCAATACAGGCGTTTGACTGTCTAGAAAACCCGTATTAGCACGACAAGAAATAACTACTGTTTGAGAACCCGGGATCACAGTTTTCTTTTTGTTTGTTTTGACAACGCAAAGGCTTTGTTCCGTTTCATGTATCGACATAATGAGGTTAATAATTGCATCCGTATTTGCACTTGCTTCTTTGTTGAGGTTTGCTGATAATAATGGGTTCAAATTGCATGTACCACCTTGCTTCGACTCGGTCACAATTTGTTCAATCACGTTATATCCAATTATTGGTAGATCAATGGAATAATCAGATACTAGAAATGGTACTTTAAGCTTATGAGTTGTGGTGTTACCAGTTTTTAGTTCAAAATCAAGATCGACCCACCCCCTGAAGGGCAACTTTGTACCATTTGCTGCCTTCAAGTCTAAAGGCGCAGAACCAATTAACTCGCAAATGTCACGCACAACAATTGATGGAAAGTTTCGTTCAATGAAATCTTTAGAAACGACCGAAACTTGGGCACCAGTGTCCCATAACACTTCAACATTAACATTGTTAAGATTACAAAACAAAGTGCACTTACGTCCAACAAGCTGACTAAGCGAATCCTTTTGTTTTGGAGTCAGATGACAAACGTAGATCCCATTATCTTTATCCACATCATTTTCCGGTGTAGACGATAAAACATGTATTGCGTTACATAGTTC